GGGATTGAAATCCCGACTCCGGCATCTTCCGTATATCCTTAAACGAGCAAGGCTCGTCGAACGTCATGCTTCGGGGTTGTGGATTCTCGCCGTGCACCAAATCCGGCAGTAGATATGGACAGCATTTCGGCCGTGCCCCTACATCCCGCCAGTGGTGGTCACGCCATGTCGCGCCAGCGAATCCCGCCAGTAGTTGACGGAATACATTTGGTGGTGGTCTCCTAGGCGGCCTGCGTGGTGGTCGTCGTCGTGCGTGTAGGTCGTCTTGGTCACGGTTGTTGTGCTCGTCATGGTCGTCGCGGTGCTCCGTTTTTGTTTGGGATCTACGGTGCGCTATAAAGACAGTGACCTGCTACGTAGGCTGGCATCCGGGGGGTTTTTATGGTCTGAAGGGTGCCTAGATCGCTCTTTTCTCTCCATCTTGAAGCATGTCTTAAGTTAACTTGTTCTTATTTGGCCTCATTGCTAAGATACGTACCTCACCGCAACTTCAAACCACAAACCGTAGCAGCCTTAGCAGTGGCTGAACATTGGATTAAGGCTTACGGTTGCGGGCTTTCCATCGTCCAGCCTGGGATGTTGTACACTGCCACTCGTGCAACATAGCCCTCCGCATCCTCAAGGGGGAATGTGCAAGAGCCACTAAACAATGGCTCTTCGCAAACCTCGGTTCTTGGAGCTAGACAGATGCTGAACAAATGCTCTCTTGCAAGTAGGTTGCACATTGTGCTAACCCTCAACCCTATAGACCCCAAGCCCGAAACCCTCAACCTTAAACACTCACAGCGATCTATACAACAGCCGAGGCACAGTGCCCTCTAAAATAAAGCCCCGGTGAGTGACATTCAGCTCCAATTCCGCGACAGTGATCGGGGCCAGGGCTCTTGACGTCTGCAAGGGCGGCTTGATGTCCCAACTTTGGCTCATCGTCATGACGTGCATGGTGGGATCCATGCCTGCGAAAAATGTGAGGGTTTGCCGCCAGCTTACGATAGGTGCCCACTGCTTATCCTAACCCCTAAACCCTAAACCCCGAAACCTAAAACCCCCTAAAACCCTAAACCCTAAAATGCCATCAACCTTTATGGCGATGTCGCAGCAAATCCGTCAACCTGCTGACCTCCACCGTTTTAATTTCCAAAAGACCCCCCATCGAAATGGGCCGATGCGCAATTCAGCTGGGTGGTTTCAGAGACCCCCAACATGGTACGTCACCCATGTAAACAGGCCCTAAACCCTAAACCTTAAAAGTGACCCTAATTCAGAGAACTACCCAGCAGCTTGCATGTCGTCTCCGAGTTCTGATTGTTCGTCTCAGGATAGGGTTTAGGGTTGGGGTTTAGGGTTTAGGGATCACATGACTATAACAATCCATGTCGTCCTGGTTCAAAGACGAGGCCTAGCACTAGCACCACCGAGTCTGGAGCAAGTTGCAACAACCTCAAGACCAATCGTAAGTCTGTGAACACGGCAACCTGAACCTCAAGAACCAAAGTCTGAATCCCCTAAACCCTAAACCCTAAACCCCTAAACCCTAAACCCTAAACCCTAAATCCCCACCAGCCCAAGCAACACCAGGCATGGGTCCCACCGCCTCCAATCTGCTTGAACTGCCTCCGGGCTTCTCGATGTCGTTGCCTGCCCGGCTCGCATCTTGAAGCCCTAAAACCCTAAACCCTAAACCCCTAAAAACCCTAAACCCTCGACCCGAAACCCTAAACCCCTAAATCCAAATCCGGTCCGAGGCGCCTCAAGATTTCGGGATCCGGCAGTGGTGGCAAGCTGGGGGCCACGGGGCCCATAGGGCCCATAGGGCCCATGGGGCCCATCATCTCCTGTTCAGGGTTAGGGTGTTGAAATTTAGGGTTAATGTTGCGGTTTTTGGAGTCATGTTGAGGGTTTAGGGGTTCAGGGGTTTAGGGGTTCAGGGTTTAGGGTGTAGTGGCTTAGGGTTTAGGGGTTCAGCTTTGAGTATGTGCCGGCCGATACAGGCAGTCTAGTACCCACTTATTGCCCCCAAAAGGTTCAAGGATAGCTACTCGACCCTAAAAACCTAAAACCTACACCCTAAACCCTTAACCCTCAAACCCTAAACCTAAAGCCTGAACCCTAAACCCTAAACCTCAAACCTGCACCCTAGAAACCCTTACTACCAAGCAGGGCCCATCATCTCCTGCTGCATCCTCTGCCGCTCCTCCTCGGGAAGGGAGGCCCAAAACTCCATGATCTTCCTTGGCTTTGAGTGCACTTAAAATATAATGTAGGGGGTTTAGGGTTTTGGGTCTTGGGTTTACTGTTTAGGTTTAATGTAGGGGCCTTGATACTCAGAAAACGGGTTTGGGGTCCTTTATAGTAAAAATATAATAAGGAACCCCCAATATAATTTAGGCCATTATTGAGGCCCCCATACTAGACTAGGGTTTAGGGCTCAGGGTTGTAGGGTTTATAGGGCCCATGCAGTTGAGACTAGAGGTTCTAGGGCGACAGAGAGTGTTTATTAGGGCTTTAGAGGTGAGCCTCAGTAATCAGACTTGCGTGCTTTCCGATTTCAGGGGTGTTTGAAGGTCGGACAAGGAAGTAGGCTTCTACGCAGTTGGGGATTGGCTATGCAACATGTTGTGCAATAACTACATAGGGCCTAAGGGAGCATCATTGCTGATTACTCAGACCCCCCTATGTTGGAAAGAGCCATAGTGCCTACATTCCACCAATCCTCAAACCTACAGCCTCAGCCATCCTTCCCGTTACGCCCGATCTGCAGTTCGCATAACAGCCATGAACCAAGCAAAACGGCAATAGTTTAGGGGTTTGACGGTTTGTTCAGCAGGCCCATCATGGATTCCCACAGCTCAGAATGCGATAGCCTATGATCGTGGCTTGAGCTTTAAGTTGATCGTTCAGACCCCTGAAACACACACACATAAAGAAAAACAATATATATATATATATATATACATACATGTACAGTCTACTTGTATGGGAGCTCAAAGGAGCTCTAGCAGGGGGTATGGTTTCTAAGCCCCAGAACTCTAAACTCTACCCCATCACCCCACAACAAAAAAACATCTCCGACACCCCTCCCTCCCCCAGATTGTCTGAAGGAAGCACTGGCTCGAAGAGTTCAAACGAACCTGACAGGCCCCAAACTGAAGGTAGGACTTAGAGCTTCCCCCTTACTGTAGGGGCCTTTAGCCGCCGTTGGGTTTAGGGTTTAGGGTTCAGGCTGGGGTATTTCTTGGGTGAGGGTCCAACCATCACCTTCCTTAAACAACGTTAGAGAGCTCTACCTTGAGTCAGCAAAAGTTTTAGTAGATAACTACTGCCCATATGCACTTCTAGAGAAGTGGAGCTTGAAGAGATATCTTCCACAGATAGGCTTATTATTACATTGCTCTCTGAGTTGAGGCGAGGTCCCTATTTGTTCCTCAAAGTTTCAAACAGGGTATCTTCCAGTGTTCTTCTATGATGTACTTTCTAGATGTTTTTTCCAGTGTTGAGAGATCGTAGCACGCAAGAAGTAGATACTTCCGTTTAGGCTAGTCATTAACCATCAATGTAGGTTAGCAATTGGGTGTGTTCGGAGATTTTTAGGGATCGGGACCCTTAGGCAACCGGAGAGGCAGCCCACAACAAAAAACCGAGCCAAGTGTCGATGGATCGGGAGGATTTCGCATGTCGAAATGGCAGTGATGTTGCGCCATGGTGCCCGAATTCCGGTCTGGGTCTTACATACGCAGGGTTAGGACCATAGAGGTCATGGCTTTAGGGTTTATAGGGCTGAGGGAATGTACGTAGTCTTGGTTCAGTGCGATTATCGCAGAGGTGTAGTACCCCGATTGCAGTACCCTTATAGAACCAGTAAGGGCAAAAAGTGCCAGAAGTGCGCTTTGGCCTGTTGCTCATGGCAGCAACAGTACCAAAGCTCCAGAGGCGATTGCCATATCGGGGTTTTAGCTCACAAATGTTCCTTTCAGGGTTCTTTGCGGCTGTAACTTTAGGGTCCAGGGTCTGGGGCTTTTTAGGTTTACATTCTGGACTTGACTGAGGGATCTCGAAAAACACCAAGGATTGGTATTCATGGCGCCATCTATATCCGCGCCGACGCCTTCGGCCGTGTCCCCTCCCTCATGATTTTCTTGGCCGTCTGTGCATCCCTTAAACTCGAACTAATGTGCATTTGGAGCTGTCTATCGTTCGGAGTCACAGGCTCTGGGTTTTGGCTTTCTGGAGCGGGGGTTAAAGCAAACAAGAGGGCTCAGCTTTTAGTTCAGGATTGAAGGGGGCTGAAGGTGTCGGTGGAGCCGAGTACGGCTGCACACGCCCATTGCCCGGAAATCCGTCGAAACCTCAAGTACAATATCCCGAAAGCACAATGTAGGGGCCTGAATAATGAGAATAGGGTTTTGGAGTGTATTCTACTATACTTCCTAAAGTACCATTGGTAATTCTTAAGGCCCCTGTAGTAATCTCTGCAGCCGTAATTTCATCCCCGAAGCCTTCGACCTTCAGCTCCGAGCCCAAACCCCTACAGCCCTTAAGCGCTAAGCCGTGAGTCCTAAGAACCAGACCCTGCCTGAGCTGTGCGACGCCTACATGTCCAGGCTTACTGATTATGCGGTCCTCATACTACTAGCCCTGAAAATACGTACTTTTTCTTGAAGCTGAGGGGGGTAAGTCCTACCAGCTACGAGGGGGTAAGTCCCACAGCCAGGCAAGTGCCGGAGAGGCATGGTGAAGTGATACAGCGCCTACGATTTCTGGGCTTGTGAAAGGACGCTGTATCTTTCGATTGAAATGTTGTATAATACGTGCATGACTGCGGAGCCCCTCAATGCAAGTCCGTAATGCAGTAGTTTTAGGGTTTAGGGTTTAGGGGATTCAGTATAGTGTATAAAGCCGCTAGCAAAGTCCAAACCCGAGACCCCAACGCCCGAACCCTGCGCTCTAAACCCCAAAGTCCTGCACGCAAACAGAAACCCTCCACCCGAGAAAAGTGCCACCTGGCGTTGTTGCTAGAGCCCAAGAGCGGCTGCCAGCCCATTTCAGAGGTTGCCTGGCGGAGTGGGGGGCGGGAAGGGGCATTGGGCTGTAGGGTTTTGGTGGTGGGGTCCAGACATGCGAATCAACTTCGGTTCTGCGATGAAGCAAATGACGGAAACATAAAACTACAAATTTTCAAAGCCTCTGCCCCAAGCGAAACGGGGCACCGGCACCAAGCCCTCTGAAGCTTTGTTAAAACAAACCTCTTTATGTCCCCATACAGTCTAGAAAAATCCTAAACCATATAAAGTCGAATACCAGAAGACGCTATTGAGCCTGGGCCCCAAGATTTCGTTATGGTAAACCCTACACATCCTTGGCGCGGCACATCTTCAGAAAAGCCGCTGGCAGCCTTCGCCGCTCTCCTGTCTTGGGGTGCAGGAAAGGTGAGAAGGGCTTGCGCTTTAGGGTTTTGCACCTAGACTTCGAAGTTGAGGGCTTGCTGCAGGGTTTAGGGGTTTAAGGTCTAGGGGTGTAGGGTTCTAGGGTTTAGGGTTTGCATCCACGGAGTCTTACAGGCTGATTCAAAGAGGTGTCCGGGCCGTGAGGTTGCCGCTTGGATAGTGATGTATGCGTATGTTATATGTATAGGGGTGGTTCTTCAGATTACGGTCCGTTTGTAGGTCCCCAATTTAGTACGGCACCGTTTTTGAAAAGGAGCCTGAAAGGGTCCCTAACGCAGAGAACCACCCATACGCGTACACGCTGGCTATCGTCAAGTTACTGACTGTTCCTGTAATGCTTACGCGATGATGACGGATTCTGATGAACTGTTTCGTGTTCTTGCTGCTGCCGCCCTGCTGTGACGAAGACGACGACGGTGGCGACTTCGACGAAGACGACGATTATCATTGCGATCACTACGGTACCGGGGATGATGGTTAGAACAACAAATGCGCGGAAAAATAACTAAGGCACCAAGGATATGACGATTCGCACGGTGGTAAATAACCTCAGGTGTTGATGGTGATTCTGACGGCTGTGTTGTTGTTGTTGTTGTTGTTGTTGTTGTTGTTGTTGTTGTTGTTGTTGATGTACTTACTGTCAGAACTCTGCTGTTGCAGGTGCTAGTAGAAGAGAGGTCAATGTTGCTGTGCCATGGACGCAGTTCCGAGGTAAATCTGTGAATCCCGAACCCTGAGGCCCTAAACCTCTACAAACCCTGAGGCCCTTTAACCCCCGAACTCAAAATCCGAGGCCCTGCAGCCTAAACCCGTAACTTTTCATCCGTCCGAGCTACGTCCTGTCTGCTTGGTCCAGCCACTTCAAGAACTTTCTGAGCTGATCGAAGTATTCTGACCTGAGTGGGTTTAGAGTTGAGGGTTTAGGGCTTAGGGCGGTTTAGGCTCTTGGAGGGCTTTATATGCCCCACAAAAATTAATTATGCTTGGGTGCTCTCGGGCTCCTATGAGGGCTCTACAGGGTTCTATGACGCCTCTATGGCCTAAACCATGAGGGGGTTTAGTAAGGGTACACTCCTAGTATGAGAGCTCTATAAGGGCGCAAACATTAAACCCTAAACCCTAAACCCCTAAGCCATAAACGCCTAAACCCTAAACACTAAATCCTAAACCCAAAGGGTACAAGAGTCTGGGGTTCTGGTTTCGGAGGCTCCGGGTTGGTTTAGGCTTCAGGGGCCAGTGCCGAGACCCCTAATGTGGGACCCTAACTACTAAAGGGTACTTCATAAGAACCCCTTGAAGGATCTACTTTTTGGATCCTCCCGGGGGTCTGGGTGTTTAGGGTTTGGGATGTGGAGTTTAGGAAAAACGGTATATCCTCGAACGGCCCTATTGTCTTCTCGGCGGTTATTTCATCTTCGGGCCCTAGGCCTTAGACCTTAAACTCTAGGGGAAAAAAGAGTGGTGTAGCTTTGCCTACTTCAATCTATCTCATTCGAGGGGTCTCTGCCGTTCAGGGAGTACTTCACCTGGGATCGCTTGATTTCTGAAACTACGATGTCGATTCGGAGTTATGCCCCGAGTGGGAACTGCCACATCCAAAGTCGCGCGAACCGCAACCCCGAACCCTAAAACCGAAACTCTGAAGCGTACGGCCAAAACCCCAAACCCGTGAACCCCTACACCTACACCCCTACATCCTAATGCCTAAACCCTAATCTCTAAACCCGAAACCCTAATCCCTAAAATCCCTCATAGGAAATGTAGATGTGAGCGTGTCGCCGCCCTCCACTCATCAGCAAGCTAGGGCTTTAGGGTTTTGGGACCTGGGGTTTGAGGGTGTTGGGACTTAGGGTCTTAGGGTCTTCGGGTTTAGGGTTTAGGGTTTAGGGTTTAGGGGTTTAGGGTTTAGGGTTTAGGGTTTAGGGTTTTAGGGTTTAGGGTTTTCGGGTTTTGGATTCGGCAGCGCGTGTGCCACATGTGCTGCTGGATCAAGCCCCAGTCAGGGCTTTTGGTTTAGAGTTTAAGGCGTTGGGATTCGGGTCGATGCTGGTATGGGCAAGCTCGTAATCAAACATCAATGACACCAACGTGTGATCATCACAGCATCACACCCCTAACCACCCCCTGATGTACTGTGACTAGCCCGTCAGGGTGTTGAGTGTATTCACGTCCACAAAAGCCGAGCTGGTCTTGTTCAATTCGCCCTATTTTGAATCTGTCGAGAAGCTTCTGATTTGCAAGTTCTCCTTTGCCTCGTGCGGCCCATAAGAAGTCATCTACGTGTGTACATAAAGCAGCACAGAGCGCATCCTCGTCGTCAATGAAAAAAGTACAGGGCAGATAATATCTGCGAGGTGCATAGGCCAAACTCGCGACTACTCTCCTTCATGCGGAGATAGATGTTCCTTCCTGCATCTGTAGTTCCGTATACAGGAACTCGTGCGATCATGAATCCTGCTTCCTGGATTTCACGATCAGGGACACCTTTTGGGTGTTTAGGAACTCTTAATATCACAAGTCTTTCTAGAGGCTTGCCCACAATCCAGCAGTGCAAGGACTTCATAGTGACTACGCCTTTGTAAACGCAAAACTATACGTGCATATGTATGTATTTATGTTTGTACATATGCCTGCATGCAAGCATGTATGTGAAAATAAACAAACATATAAATGCATAGATAAAAACTATATGTAAATGTATACACATGTATGTTTCTGTGTCTGTGTATGTTAATGGTTTAAGGTTTGAAGAGGTCGGAGGCTAAGGATGCAAGGGCTCGAGGGTGTAGGGTTTAGGATTTAGGGTGTCGGGTGTAGGGTTTGTAGCTACATCCGTACTCCTCTAACTGGTAAGGCCATTCTACTGCAACACAAATGTAGACTATACTATTCCCTTCCACAATTGCAGTAGGCTTAGCCAGCTAAGCGCCTGAGGCCTGTGTTATGAAGGGTTTAAGTTGGCTTTGGGGTTTAAATAGTGTTTGGGCGAGGGGGGGGCGGGGGTGAACCGACTGCGTGCCGGACCGGTGATTCACTTCGATATCGTTATGTCCAGCCTGCCAGGTGTGGCGTAAACGCTAAACCCTAAACTTAAAGCTTAACCGTTTTGGGGCTTTGGGTCCAGGGCCCCGCGATTTTTGGCGTGGTGGTCACGGATATCTTGGACTCTGACCCTCTTACTTGTCCCCTAAACCCTAGACCCCAAACCATAGGGCTTAGGATCTCTAAACCCTAAGCCCGAAAACCAGAGGGTAACTAAAAGTTAGCCTTTGGCATTCATTGGGGATCGGAAAGCCCAATGATATCGAGTGATGACTACCTCACATGAGAAGGAGCGTGAGAGTCGAATCTAAGGCCCCCCCAAAAATCTACTTCTTGCTTAAGGGGTGTTGGGCTCTTCGGGTCTTTTGGGGTTTAGGGTTTAAGGGTTTGGGGGTTTCGGGTTTGGGGTTTGGGGTTTAGGGTTTAGGGGTTTAGGGCTTGGGGTTTGGGGTAGGTAGGGCTTGGACTGCGGCGGCACTGGCACAACTTTGAGGCGGGGCTGTCTATCGGGTCTTATATAGTTTTTACTCCTTGGAACAGCTATCAGCGAGTACCAGGACGGACATAAGCTACTTTATGTATACATATATAACAGAGACTACGCTTGCTGATTAATCATGCCTGTATATTATCGACAACTTGAGTTCAGAGAGCTTGCCCAGCAAGCCAACTACCCGAAACGACGGTTCGTGGTGCAGGACGTCTCAGCCAAAAATCTAAAATTGAGATCCTTACAAGTTTGCCAAAGCCAGACAAGAACTTCTCAGAACCTTCCGAGCCCTAAGCCCTTAAACCCTAAACCCTAAGGCCTAAACCCTAAGCCCAAAAACGGAAGCCCTGAATCTCACAGCAGCTTCCTTTAACCTCTCGGCCCGGATCCGAAAAAAAACCTAATCCCTTGAATCTCTAAATCCCAGAACGTCTAAACCCAAAGTCCTAAACCCCTAAATCTCTAAATCACCTACATACCCAAGCCCCAAGCCCCAAATCCTACATCCCTACAACCCTAAAGCCTAAACCCCTAAATCCCAAATCCTAAACCCCAACTATCTACATCCCTAAATCCTTAAGCACCACCCCAAATCCCCAGACCCTGAACCCTGAATCCCCATTTCTAAACCCCAGGCCATTTGGGGCCTCTTTGACCCACCAGGGATCATAGCCGTACTCTTCGGGACAAGCCTTGAGGCTTCAGGCTTAGGGGGTTTAGGGGTTTAGGGGTTTAGGGTTCAGAAGTTCAGGGGTTCAGGGATTTAGGGGTTTCGGGTGTAAGGTTTAGGATTTAGGGTTTAGGGGTTTAGGGTTTTGTCTAGGGTTTGGGGGTTGGGGGCTTGGGGAGTTTAAGCGTTTTAGGTTGAGGGGAAAAGGGTTCAGGCCGGGCTAGGGTTTGGGATCCTATGCAGACAAGGTCAGCAGCCAGGGTAGTGGCAGATGACAGCTGGACAAATCCCTAAGGGTCCATGTGCCCCAATAGTATATACTTTGGCCCCAAAGTACCTATATAGGGACTACTTCTAGGGACTACTGTAAGGCCAAAGTATATATAATTTGGGTACATGGACCCTGAGGGGTAACTCCTCCAGGAACACAACATCCTGCCGACTCATCCTTGACAACGTTTAGGGGTTTAGGGTTTAGGGTTAACGTCCACGTCGTTGTCAGCCCTCTCCATCTTGCTGCGGGTTGCATCCAGATTTAGCATCTCGCGCTGCCCAACAATGCCGTTAGTGACATTTGAAGCCCTAAACCCTAAACCCTAAACCCTAAACCCTAAACCCTAAATCCTAAACCCTAAGCCCTAAACCCTAAACCTCAATCCTGTACCCAACGATTGGAGTTTGCCCCGTCATCGACCCAAGCAAGCCTTGTACGGTTGCAAGCCCAGGGTGGAGGGTTTCGGGTCTCGGGTTAACGCGTCTGCCCTCGCTTCTGCGCCTGCCGTAACCCTATGCCATGGTCTCTGGAGCTTTGGTAAAACGGCTAGAGTGCGGTTCATCCCCTCGTTACCACCACCAAGACGACTACTGTGGCAGATGATGAATGAAGCCAAATTCTCAACCGGCCCGAAACCCGAAACCTGTCCTGCTCCTTCCTTACGTGGCAGGGTTAAGTTCCCCAGTGCCTTGTCACCGTGTGGATGAAGGCATATACAGTGTGCAAGGGCTTTCCGTGAGGGTTTCGGATTCAGGGGTTTCGGGCTTAAGGATTTAGGGGGTCCCGGCCCAGACTTAAAAGCTCTGTCAGTTTGTGTACCTTGCTTGCAGCTCAAACTGAACCCATAACCCTGCGAATTCCTGCAAACGGCAGTCTCTGCACAAAGCCACAACGAAATCAGCACTGCCCATAGGCCATAGTAGTTCCTTTGTGGGATTACCTTATAGGTTTCTATTTATGAACCCCAAAAGGAACTACTTTAGGGCCTATGGGTAAGCCCCCCCATTCCCGAACCCCAAAACGAACCCGAAAGGTGATTCCCAATTCCGAACTTCTAGAGGCCCCTCGACAGATCGGCGGTTTGGTCCTAAACAACCCGAAACCCTAATAATAATAATAGTAGTAATAATTATAATAATCATAATAATAATAATAGTAATAGTAATAGTAATAAAAATGACAGTAATAATAGTAATAGTAATAAGAATAACAATAGTAATAATCATAAATACATAAATAAATAAATAAATAAATAAATATATATATATATATATATATCATATAGGGACCTCATGAATAACAATCAGAATAAGGCTTCGGGGCCTTGGGGCCCCGATACTCTCACTATAATAAGGAGCCCTCAAGAATCATGTCGGAAAATATTCCGGCTTCTGTAGTACCCTTATTATGTATGCCTTAACCTCGAAACCGTAAACCTTTGCAGCAAAGGACATCGAAGAGAGTGAGGCCGTGGTCGAACGGAATCTGCGGCAGACACATAGAGGGTTAGGGCTTGAAGGCTTGTGGGCTGCCGGGTATAGGGCTCCGGTTGTTATTCTTTGAAGCCCCCCTTCGTGAGTACACACCTGCCTAAGACCACCAGGGACGGCACGACAAGTATCCAGAGCTGCCACCAAGTTTAGGGGCTTAGATTTGTGGTAACATAGCACCTTCACTTGCATGCCGTTCCACGACTTGAGTTGCGGAATGAAAACCGCCCCCAAGCCCAGAGTCCCTATATAGGGGTCGGAAGAGTTGCCAAGAACATCCCTGTAGAATCCTTATATGTCCTCATATGTCTACCGTATGGAATACAGGTGTCTAGTATACAGGATCCGCACATGTCGACACTTCAACGGGAACGTCTAAAACTTTTATCCGGTCCTGAAAATCCTTCCATAAGGTCGGAAAGACTACATTGAAACCTGAAGTTAGGGACAGTTAGAGGGTTTACGGTTTAGGGGGTGTTTCTCCAGCTGTACCCAGCTTGATCTACCTGCGTTCCTCTTTGCCTGGCTTTAGCTAGCAAGCCTAGCTTGGGGTTTAGGGTTCAGGGTTTAGGGTTTGCATACTGTGCTAGTGCCAGCGCATCTGAGTCGCACGCTCAGCTCAAGATCGCCGATTGATGATTCTGAAAACGGACCAAGTGTTGTCTTGATTCGCCGCGGCGTCGGATGGGTCAAATTCCAACCTTCCAAGTTAGGAAATCTTATGCTGTGCTGAAGATCAGCATCTCGCCGCACGCGAACTTGTTCCGTCTGAGCCGGGCGGACGGTGGTGGTTTTCCATCGCTTCTTTGTGACAGCTTCTCGATTTTCTCCGTATTTGTCCATCGGGATACATTTCGACATGTAATGTGCCGGAATGAAATCTAGTCGGGTCTTGTGCTAACACAACACTGAGGCTTCAATCATTGACCGGAATCCTTTTGACTTTAGACTTGGAAGACAGCCATGCAATATGTACAATCCCTTCTCTAAAGTAGGGTCCCCTTTCAGGATCCTTTTGTAAGGGTGCCGTACTATTTTGGGGCCCTAAATAACGGGACCCTAATTTACAGAACTCTCCTTATGCATCAGGGGTAGTATAGGGGCCTAAATAATTACCAATAATATTTTAGGAGGTCCTTATTAAACTATAGTATAATGGACCCCAAAATCGTATATTAATTTTTAAGGCACCCTAAACCCAAAACTGCTATATTGCCCCCCAGAAAAAAACTAAACCCCAATTATCAAGGCCCCTATATTACCATCAGGCCACAAGATCGTCAACCGAGGGAGCCAGAAGTCACAAGCACAAGGCTGCGACCAGTTTAGGGTTTAGGGTTTTAGGGTTTTAGGTTTAAAGGGGCATTGCATCATGAGGCTTTTAATACAGGTCCCCGTTAAGGGTCTTCCTTGTACTACCTAGGAGGTTTAGGACTTCGGGTGTAAAGGTATTAGGACTCGGGGAAGCAACGAGCCAAAGTAGACGCAGTGATGCCCACAAATAACGTGGCAATGTGGGTACCTAAGGCTGAAACCATGGGCCCCCTAGCATGGGCCCTTAAACTTTCGATCCTCATACACTACTATATGCCCTCTATGTGTCCTTAAGGGTCCCTAGAAAGGCCTAAGGGTCCATATTAGGGGCCCATACTTCCCACCTTAGAGGGTAGGACCAGGGCCGCCAGGGTTTAGGGCCCTTGCCCCAAGGAGTGACGACAGGACTCCTCACGAGATGCGACTCTGTAAAAAGGACTCGGAAGGAAAGGTCCTAGGCGTTTCTTAGCCGCTCATCATACCTTAACCAACTCTTAACTTAACTCCAACTGCCATAATCTGGTTCCCTGTTGGGGCTATATTAAAAATGATCATCGCTAATCCTTATTGGGTTTTATTATGACCAAAATGTAAAACTGTAGCCCACTAGGACCCAGTAATAAGACCAGCATGTTGTTCATTCGGGAACTACAAAGTGAACTTACGCTGAGCTCCTTCAACTTAGCCTGTCAGGCCCCACATAAACCTTGTTTAAGGTTCCCTGACATTCCTTAACAGCAAAAACCCAACAGAAACACACACCGAAACCGACACCGCCTCAAGCCCCCTAACAGGAACCCAGGAAAGGTAATGCAGGGGCCTAAATAATTACCTATACTATCTTGGGACTCCTGATTATAATTACAGTATAATGGGCCCCAACATCATATATTCTATTTATTAAGGCCCCTGTAGTATCTGTGCCTCGTTGTCGTGTGTTCCATGAATGATAAAGACCGGCGACCTTGCATACCCAAAACGAGCTTTGGGGTTAGGGCCTGGCTTGTTGGGCTTAAGGGTTGAGGGTTTAGGGGTTTAGGGGTTTAGGGTTTGGGGCTTAGGGGTTTAGGGTTTGGGGCGGATTGGGGCGTGGGGTTCGTAGGGGTTTAGGGTTTAGGGCTCAGGGGTTTAGGGTTTGGTTTGGGGCGTAGGGGTTTAGTGTTCAGGGCTTACGGGTTTAGGGTTTGGGGCGTAGGGGTTTAGGGTTTAGGGCTTAGGGGATAGAGGGTGGGCTTTGGGCCTATAGTTTTTAGTTTTCAGATGATGCGAGTAGATGTTTGGTCCGGGCTTCAGGCTTGTACAAGACACTCCGGCTCATGCATGGACTCGCTAACTAGGACCGACCGTGGCTTCCTGCTGAAAGTCGAAGTTCACCGATATTCCCAAGATCAACAGAGGAGGAAATACAGGAGCCGATTGAATGATGCACATCTTGCCTGCGAAAACCTCGACTCCAGAACTGTAGCAAAACAGTAGGTGACAGACCCTGCATGCAAACTAAACCCTAAACCCTGAACCCCCTCAATTATGCAAGAAAAGGCCTACCGAGGGACCCGAACGAAGCGCCTCAATCAGAGGGGTTTTCCTTAGTTTGATCTCCCGCCGTCGTTAACTACAAGGAATCCCGAAACCTGTTCCGGTCATGTGAAAACCTCCTTCGAAGCGCCCTGGGCCGAAAGCTCAAAACTTGCTCCATTCAGCTAATATGGTTTAGGGTTAAGGGGTTTAGGGTTTAAGGACTGTTCTGTATCAGGCTTCCTGCTCGAGGTGATGCAGCACCTTTCCTAGGCGCCTTTTGCAACAAACCCTTCAAAAGCAAGAAGCCGCACATGGGCAATACAGTTGTCCTAAACCCAACTCATCCCAGAGGGGCTCCCGGCGTGACTTTCTTCATCCTCGCCGCATTCTGGAAGACGTCGAACCAATATGTGGTCTGAGTGGCCGAGACAGAGATGCGGGATTCAGGGCTTAAGGCTTCTCTGCTTGATTCAGAAGAGGACAAAAACCCAAAACCCTACACCCCAAACCCTACCTGTGGCCCAAAAAAACCTATCTTTTAAGGAGGTATAGATAGAAACCATTTAAGGCACCCTAAAACAGTAGGATTTTTCGGCTACAGGTAAACCCTAAACCCTAAACCTTATAAACCCTAAACCCTAAACCCTCAAACATCTCAGCGGCCCGCCTTGACGTCGTGGATGACACCAAGCCCGCTCTTCATCGCACTGGCATTGTGGAGGCAGTGTCGGACGAGGGTTTAGGAGTTTACGGTTTAAGGATTTAGGGTTTAGGGTTTAGGGGTTTACGGTTTCGGATTTAAGGGTTTAGGGTTTAGGGTGTAGGGTTTCGGGGTGTAGAGTTTAGGGTTTAGGGTTTGAGACTTAGACTGCCTCATGTCCCCTTTAGCTCCGTTTCGGGGTGTAGAGTTTAGGGTTTAGGGTTTGAGACTTAGACTGCCTCATGTCCCCTTTAGCTCCAAGAAGCCCGGTAGGGCTTGTAGGGTTTAGGTTTTTTTAATGTGGTACTGCAAATGAAACCCTATGAAGACGCTTGCAGTACCGACCCCAGTAACTTACAATAGAGTTTACTGGGCAATCTGGGAATCCATGGAAATTCAATCTGAAACTTTCTGACCAGCAATTGATACGAGTAGGTCAGGCTTGCCCGATTGGCGGATTGGGGGATTGTTGGTGAATCCGGGGTCTGCTTGAAGCTACCTATTCTGGACCGACAAGACATGCTGGAAGGCTTTGTTGAGGACGGACAAAGGGCCCAAGCCCGAGACCCGAAATCCTAAACCCCAAGTCCTACAGACCCTGAAACCCTAAACCCTAAACCTGAAACCCTAAAGCCCCAAATCCCAAAACCACCGAGTCAGAACCATCAACAAAAAACCTAAAGCTCGAAACCCAAACCCCCAAACCCTAAACCCTAAACCAAAAACACCAAACCCTACAGCGTAAACCCTAAATCCTAAATCCTAAACCCTAAAGCCCTGGAAACCCTAAACCCTGAAACCCCAACGTCCTGCGCCCTAAAAAACACTAAAAGCACGGCCGCCTCCCAAGTACGTCAGGGCTACGGATTCGGGGTTTAGGGTTTAGGTTTAGGGGTTTAGGGGTTTAGGGGTTTAGGGGTTTAGGGGTTTAGGGTTTAGGGTTTAGGGGTTTAGGGTTTAGGGCTTGGGGGTTTATGGTTGCTTGCTTGCTTCAGGGCTTTACATAGGGTTTGGGACTTCGAGGGTTTAGGGTTGAGGGTTAACTCAAGTCACCTATGTAGTTCACTGCCTCACTGCTGGTCCCATCTATCTTTAGCCTGGTGTCTATAGCCATCATTCTAGATGCAGGGCAGGGTTCTCTGCACAATGTCGGCCTAAACCCTAAACCCTACATAACCTCGGCGAGGGTGCCCGGGAGCTCGTGGCGAGGCCGGCCTGTGAACGCCTCCCCTTGTTTTTTACAGCTCTTGCAGTCCAGGGCGGGACAACTTCCTTCTTTCAAGAGGGAGCCAGTCCGCAGTAGTTATTGTGAGGTCTCCCACCTGGCGATCCGGTCGCGGAGCTCGACCAGGGAACTCGGGGGGCTAGTATACTTCTTGTGACTGAACTTAATTAGACAAGAAACTGAGCTCCGGAAACCCTAAACCCTAAACCCTAAACCTCAAACCCTAAACCCTAAACTCTAAACCCTAAACCCCAAACCCAGCCCGTCCAGAAACCCCTGCATTCTGCAGGGGTCTTCTTTAAAAAGGGGGCTCCGGTTCTTCGTGCAGCGGTGGATCCACCTAAAAGGCGTGTTGCTGGAGGAAGCCGGCGGCGCAGTCGACGACGTTGCTGTGCAGAACAGGTGACGGTTTAGGGTTTAGGGTTTAGGGTTTAGGGTTTAGGGTTTAGGGTTTAGGGTTTAGGGTTTAGGGTTTAGGGTTTAGGCAGCAGGGAGTCAAGACTCTGAACCCTAAGTTCTACACACCGAAAACTTACAAAGAACCCAGAATCAATGAGCCCAAAGCCAAACCTCGTCCGACTGCAAGCCTAGCTTCGGCGAACCGTCAATCCTAATCCATGCACCCTTCAACGTAAACCCTAAATCCGAAACCGAACGGCTTGGGGTTTAGGGTTTAGGGTTTAGGGAATCGTAAACTTAAGAACCCTAAACCCTTTACAACGCGTTGAAAACTCTGAGAAAAACACTTCCTGCTGCCCAAACCCTAAACCCCAAACCCTCAACCCCAATCCCTAAACCTTAAACCCCAAACCCTAAACCCTAAACCCCAAACCCTAAACCCAAAACCCAAAACCCAAAACCCTAAACCCTGGCAGCCTGTGGAGGATGAGGCCGCCAACAGTGACCCTGGAGGCAAGCTCCACCTTGCTTAAAGGGCTCTTTGAGTTTAGCGTTGTTTAGGTCAGGGTTTAGGGTTCAGGGTTTGGGGTTTAGGGTTTCAGGGTTTTTAGGGTTTTCAGGATTCAGGGTTAAGCGTTTAGGGTATTAGGTTTTGGGGTTTTTAGGGGTTTAGGGTTTAAGGGTTTCACTATAAGGGGATATTGTCACAAATAGCTCAGGCAGCTATATTACACGGACAATGGCTGTGCCGCTAAAGGCAAGAAACTTATTGAGAGGTTTTGGCATCATGAGTGTGTATCAGAGGCTGAGGCCGTAAACTAGCAAGGATCGGGTTTAGAGTTTATGGTTTGGGTTTAGGGTTTATGCTGCTTAGGTGTGTCGGGTTTCGGGTTTAGGGACCTAGTTGTCTCATGCTTCTGGCAGTAATTCGGCGCCGGGGTTCTGAACCCCAGCCCAACAGACACCTCCCATTAATTGTGAGGGTCTGTTTAGAGTTAAAGGTTCATCGTTTGAATTCCCTAATTCAACAGCCAACACCACAAAATTCTTGTAGCTCCCCAAACCCTGCTAGCTGTGGTTGTGGTCGAACCAACAGTGTATCCTGTAGGCCCTTCCTTCAAGGCTGGCGCACGGATTTCTTACGCGGTGGAAGGTCAGATGTGGTCTTAAACTGTCCACAGAGCCTGTACCTTCGTGCAAGGATTCGGTTTTGCTCGGTTGAAGCGCTGACACCCTGGAAACCAGCAGAGGTTACGAACATATTTCGTAGAATGATGACACCACGAATCCTCAAAAACACGGCTAGTGCGCAGCAGAATGATGCGATCGCCGTCATTGTTGTAAAGCATCAACATCACCGCCATCGCGGTCATCATCATCATGATCATCATCATCACCACCACAGCCATTCTCATCGCCAGCCCCTTGAACAACATCAAGATCGCCATCATGACCGCCAGTTACACCCCCATTGCAATCAGCACTATCATCGTCGTGGTCACCAATACCATCCTCCTCCTCCTCCTCCTCCTCTTCCTCCTCCTCCTCCTCCGCATCATCGTCTTCACCATGTCTCGCAGACTCACCGCCAGCATCAGAAAGGCAGCAATCACCCCCCTCCCCCTCCTCCTCCTCATCATCATCCTCATCATCCTCGCCATCCTCCTCATCCTCATCATCCTCCTCATCCTCATCATACTCCTCCTCCTCCTCACCATCATCATCACCATCATCATCATCATCAGCATCAGCATCAGCACCAGCACCAGCACCAGCACCAGCATCAGCATCATCATCATCATCATCATCAGGGTCGTCATGACCAAAAGCAATGGCAGCAATAAGGGGCAATGATGTGACGACAGTATATCACTAGAGCCATCATCCGAAACCCAGCGTCCACTGTACACTGTACAATGTTCGGGCCAGAGTCGTCAAGCGGTTCTAGGACGCATCCACGTGGAGACCCAGCGAATCTAAACCCTAAACCCTAAACCCTAAAGCCCTAAACTCCTAAAGCTCTAAAGGCTTAAGACCATAGCTGGCAAGCTGAGAACAATGCCGAACCCTAGAGCCCCTGTGTGCATCCAGTGCCGATGGGTTGCATTTCTGTTGGGCCTAAATCTTTCAGGGTAAATGGCTGGGGTGCACCAAAACCTAAATCTTTCAGTGAAAATGGCTGGGGTGCCCCAAAACCTTAACCCTAAACCCTAAACCCTTATAGTCTTATAGCAACCCCTACTGAAATCCTAAACCCTCATCTCACTTCTTCTTAGGGACCTCCAAAACCGACGGTAGGTCTTTCCGGAAGGTCCCAGAAAATAGATCGCGGCGTTAAAACTTCGGCTCCCATCTTCTTTGGGGATTGGGAATTATAGGGTTTAGGGGTTAGGGGTTTAGGGCTTAAGGGGGTCTGGGTTTAGGGTTTAGGTGGTTAGGGCTTAAAGGGGTTAGGGTTGACGTTTAGGGTTTAGGGGGTTAGGGGGTTAGGGGGTTTGGGCTCTGCCTTCGGCTTGCTGGGACATCTTCCGTAGGTCTCTTTTGATTTTTTGGAGTTTTAAAGGTGACTTTTGGGGCCTCCTTTGCTGAAGCTCTAGGGTATCTTTTGGGGGGGCTCGGCGAGGACTCTTTGATGTGGTAGGTCTTTTAGTTTTGGGGGCCGGCTGAAGTGTGGGGTGTTTTTGAAGGCCCCAGGAACTTTAACCCCACCAAAACTTTCCTGCAATTCGGCTTACGGTCGTGGCCACATGGGCTCTTGGAGTCCATACAACTTCTAAGTTTTCGCGCAGCTCTGAGATTTAACACATGATCCTCGGACGTTCAGGCGCGACCCCTCTCCTTGCAGGGGACTTACGGTCTAAGTCGAGTCGGGCCTAAAGGTTGGGGGGTGTGTCTTCGCTTCAGGGTTTAGGCTCCTAGACCTTAAGCATTATAAACCTAAGCCGTACCTATGGTCTCCATTGTAGCTATTTTTTGGGGATACCTTATAACATCCTTAATATTCAAAAGGCTAAACCAAAAAGAGGAGCTACAGTGGAGACCATAGGTAAACCCTAAACCGAAAAGCCCTAAACCCCTAAACCC